ATAGATTATGAATCCCTTGGGAGTTATCTTTAGTAAATTAAGTTAGTTAAAAATTAAGTTGATATTTTGTTTAATTTTTGCAAATTTTAGCAGTGTTTTCAGTTAAACTTACTTAAATGAAGTTGATATTGTCATTTTTTGTAAAAGTTTGAAATTAATTCATTTTTGTTAGTTTTGTGGATTTCTTTTTTGGGTAACTTATATATGAAGTCATGCTAATTCTTAGTATTCATTTTCGCGTAAATTGAGATATTCAGTCAAATTTTGAAAGATCTTCATCTGCTTTTGAAATCTTTAATTTAACCAATCTTCTTTTTAATGAATTTCTCTTTTACATATACAAAAGAGATAATGAAATTGTTATACTAAAGCTTCCTATAGTAGAAAAGAGAAACTTGTATATTTGCCAGCTTTTATCACCATTAAAGTTGATTTATTTGACATCTAATAATAATTCACCTATGGTGGATAAGGATAGTCACTGTAGACATAGGATAAATGTTTCCTGAACTTGAATTCTCACCGCTTCACACACAGTTTGAGTTTGTGCAAATATAGTCTTTATTTAATATCTTGCCGAAACTAAAGTTAATAAAAAAAAGACAAAACAATCAGCGACACAAACAAATGTCACTGAGTCCAAAAATGGTAGAAGTGCATGTAATAAAAGTCTGTAATGGTTTACATAGAGTTATATAAGTTAATAGGTTTGTAAGTAACAGCTGTTTGTCTGGAATGTTGTAACAATTCTCCTCTCTGAAAGTTTGGTTTTCCCTTTTTCTTGTTTTTATTTCAAAGTTCCTTATCTGTGTTACGTCAAGGTGACAGATTTTCTTATTGTTACAAAATAAAAGGAAAAACATATTTAGCTCTCGGCAGATCTTATCTCTGCTACTGAATACTGACAAATGTTGAGATGATAGAAGTATCACGAGCTTATAGAGCAAAACAAACAAAATATTTTAAATTAGTCCACATTTTAAATTCCTCTGACAGCAGTGGATTATTTTCCAGTCTTCTCAGAGCTGATAATATTATTTCTATTATTTCTACGTCTGGTTTCCTCCAACTCCATCACTAAGTTCCCAGACGTCTTTGTCTGGAGCCGCGAGCTTGGAGCTGCCTCATGGGCAGCCTGATGGGCTGCTTGTTGAATTTTTCCATTATTTCTTTGATCCGTGAGAGGTTGGTGCGACCGATGGTGAAGTCACACCGGGTGGCGCCCATGTCGTAGCCCACCTCACATTTCTTACTAACTAGGCTGTAGCCGTCCGCCCTGGCCGTCACCCTGTACTCTCCGGGGTTGAGGAGACGCCAGTAGTCGCCATCAGCAGCTGAGAACACACAAATAGAAAACAGTTTTTCATGGTTTAAACTTTACTATACTATACTATACGATACGATAAATATAAACAAGCATAAAAAATGTAAAAAATATATTTTAAAATTAATAATAAATAATTTAATAAACACTTTTTATTTAATTGCTTCAGTGATGTAAAATCAACAATCCATCTACTGTTTATTTTATTGTCTAATTATATGTACTTATTATATTTTATGGCACCAATCAAAGCCCTTTCTAAACTTACTACAGTGAGTAATTTATGATTTGTTGCAGCAACTACAGCGTTACGTTGCCAAAATCTCGCTCTAAACCCTAGCAATATTTTCATTTTCTTTGAGTTCTACTCTTGAAACAGTACATATTCTTTATCCCCACTGAGGTTCTTATTAAAAATAGCTCTGCTTTGTCATGTCGGATCTCCTCGGTCTCACAGTGCTGAACACGAGCTCGTGTATTTTCGCTGGATGAGTCACTCATAAAAACAACAGTGTTGTTTTCTTCCAGTCGGCCAAACACCCACCTGACACGTTTGAACGAACACAGAGACAAATTAAATATGACAGCGGCTCTGTCTGTGCGGCTGAACTACGCTCCGTCCAAACACTGACATTATGGACATCTGCGGTCAGATCAAGTCCAACAGTCCAACAACAGCAGACAGATCTAATTGTTTCCAGAAATGCAAGAAGGCGAATGCAAATAATGGTGATGAAATCTAGGTCTTTCATTATTTTGATTTGATAGTTGGTTTTTTGGTAGCTTCTTGACATCTGGTGTTGTCTCCTTACAAGAGGAAGTCAGTGTTTCTAGATCTGCTTCTGCAGCTTCAATAACAAGTATATGAAAAGTACACAATGTTCTCTTAGAGTTTGAAGCTAAAAATAACTTGTACTGTACATGCTGACTTGTCCTCGTTTTTGTGTAGAAAAGTGTTTCAGTTCCGACTTTCAGTTTCTGTTAGTCACTCAAAGGCCTGATCTGTAGCTATGGTCTGGAGTCAGATCCCTGGCTTTTAGTTATTTATTGATGCATGTTACATAATAGATTACATATGTTACATAATTTTTTACCTGTGCGAATATCATGGCCGATTCCTTCCACGGAGATGATGGCGTTGGCTATTCCACGACCTTGTAGGTCCCGCACCACACCTTTGATCCCACGATGCACCTGAACAAGAGAATTTCAGACCCGTTTAGTTTACAGCCAACTATCTTCTGCATAGCTCATCAAAATATGCGTTATACAATACGATGACATGTCATACAAAACATCAGGCATGGGCAAACTTTTTTGTGTCGTGGCCCACAATTGTCCTAAAATTGCACGGGGGCCGGGTCAGGAGCAGATAGGTGGAGAGTTTGTGTGAACTAAGATAAATGACATGTAAAAGTCATGCATATAGGCTCATATGCTCAATTTTAGCATTTTCTTTAAATTTGCCACGTCAGCTATTGGGGAAACATAGGTATTGCAGGGAAAAGGCAGAAGTATAATGATAATATAAATAAATGATATAATTTAGAAAGGTTTGGTGGGCCAAATTAAAAAAGCTGAACGGGAGGCATCCGGGCCCCGGACCTTAGTTTGCACATACCTGCATTACATCATGTGTGACCTTCAACAACATAGTTAAACATGTTCCTGCTCATCCAGCATCATTTTTAACTCAACCTTTACAACATTCTGTACATACATGCAATAAATATAAAACACAGAGGGGGCGACGTGTTAGTCGTCTGTCTTGAAAAATGCTGTGAGTGTGAAGGAAAATAATTTGAGTATGTGTTAATTATGTGGAGATGTTTTTAACACCTGAAGGACAGGCGAACATATGGAGCCATTTCTACCAAGACACAAATATATGTGTCACATCTTTAAATCCAGAGATCAACAAATAAACTCCACGACGGTTTCCTGATTGTTTCTCTCTCCTGGTGTACAGTAATGGGCTGCACATGTGTGTGTGTGTTATCCTGGTTGAATCCTGAGTGCTGATTGGTTGCCACCAAGACTATTGATACAGGAGAAGATGCATTTTCTGGTCAGTTATGTGGTTAGGTGCAACATTTAGCTTGTTTTCTGTTGTTGTTTTTTAACATTGAAATCATGACACTGTGACTTTACATGGACGTAAGTCCTGGTGCTTGAAATACCAGTAGCATAAATATATCTTGTTGAATTTGCTTTGTTACTGTAGCTCAGTGTAAACAGAAGAAGAGCCTTCACTAATGTGCAAAACTATAGAATTCTTCATAAAGCGCAAAGTCAGGTATTTGGCATTTGACCACTGCTCTTGAAGGTGTATAGTAATTACTGAAATATTCATGACATAAACAGGAAAGTCCAGCTCTGAGTCTAGTCTGGATTAGAGTTCAAGTGAAAGTAAAACTAGCCGTTCTCTAAAGCCCACCCGTTGATCTCAGTAATGATAATAATAATAATGCAAAACCAGATCCATACAAATGTCAAATCTGGACCAGTGTGACTCCAGATTATATAAAAAGTGGTGTTTACTTCCTTCTCTTTTGTAGCCTTTGTACCTGTTCCATGAAGACGAGAAGAGACTCGCGATTGTTCTCCCACTCCTCAGGCAGCTCATTTTCATGAGGGAATTTATCACATCCCACATACATCGACAACTCAAAGCAGTTGGTGTGCAAATAGCTGAAATCATTCATACCTGCCAAGAAAGGGGAGGGAAAAAAATCAAACGGAGAGGCCAGCAGTAAGTTAACTAATTACTGTGTGGATGCTAGGAGCAATCAGTGAGGACTATGCAAATGTAAGTAGTGAAGCAGGTACAGTACAGCTGTGAGGCTGTGAGGAGTTTTAGACACTAACTGCCGGCTGCCGTGTGCCAGGAAGCCCCGTTGATGGTGCCGTCTTCTTTGGCAAAGTCTTCTGTATGGCAGACTCGTCGGCTGGCGTCAGTCATGAGGCGGTGGGTGGACGCATAGGAGAAGGCCAGCCACCGGAAGACGTGGTCATCAGGGGTAGGGGTCTGCTCCCTGGTCACTCCCTGGGAGCGGGTTTTGTCGTCGGGGAAGGGCACCCACAGCCCCCCCTCCCCCCAGGTGCGCCCC